CCCGGTCTTCGTTTTAGTAGTACGAAAAGGAAGATCCCCGGTCTTAGTTTTCGTAGTACGAAAACGAAGACCCTGTAAACAGAAAACCGTAGAAATTACGAGTTCAACACACATTAAACAGCAACAACGCTTAGTAATATAATGCATTACACTTCACGCGTTTCTTTCCATTATTATACTGCCATTACTACTGGCCCATCTTGTCTGTTCTGTTTCGCTATGCGAGCCAATTTGGTGTGGATATTCTCGAAGGTACAAAAACGAAGACCTTTATTAAAAGCGGAAAATCCTTTGAAAGTACGATTGAAGACGTATCCTGAGCACTAGTACTTGTTATTTCGGCTTTTATTATGTTCAGACAGTTCGCGCGTGGTTTTTCGTGTTCTTTCTTCAGCCACCGCTGCTTTCGGCTCTTGAATTTGTTTTTCTATGCAATGAGTCCAAGTTTGGAACAGACATCCCCGTCGAAGGAGCGATCGGAATGTTTTAGGGCTTCACTAAGGTTAAGCAGGCTTTATTCGGGCTCTTAATAAAGGGTCTTCGTTTTCGTAGTAGGAAAACGAAGACCCTGCATTAGCCGAAAGAATTGCTTACTTTTTAACGAGAATTTTCCGGCAGAGAAGGCTTAACGACCGTCAGAATCTATTTTAGCTACGAAATACAGTAGACTTAGATTATTTATTGACAAAACCCAAGAACCACTTCCTGTACAGAACGCGTTCTATGTTATTCTGTCACGTAATGCTAACTATAAATCAAAGGCGGCTAGAGCTCGAATTCTGCCTGCTGTTCCAGAACAATATGAGTGGTAAGTTTACCTGAGGAAATCCTCGAGAATATCAACACCAAATTAGCGAAACAGAACAGACAAGACGGGCCGGTAGTACTGGCAGTATAATCATGGGAAAAAAAGCGTGAAGTGTATTGTATTATATTACTAAGCGTTGTTGCTATTTAACGTGTGTTTAACTTGTAATTTCTACGGTTTTCTGTTTACAGGGTCTTAGGTCTTAGGTCTTCGTTTTCGAGGTCTTCGTTTTCGTAACACCCGCCATCCACTGACGGTTTTTACTAATCTTCCGCAAACATACACATCCACTGGGGCTAAATTTTCTTGAAAAATCTAAGCTCTTGAATTACCATGTGTTAATTTGATCTTATTTTAACTCTTTTGGAATTTTCGCACTGAATCAATCTCTCCTATTTTGATTACCATTGATCAGAGAGAAGTTTGCTGTAAAATTTTAAGAATTGCCAAATAGTTCAGCGAATTTATCGTCTTAGACGGCGTTTTGACGCCTTCCCGTAAGCCAAGGGGCATTTGGATTAGTAATGCAACTATGTTTACATGCTTTTGCGTCTGAATGCCCATTTGATTACAGAAGCCACCAACCAGGTCGTCAACAGGCTGCGTCACAGTTCTTTCGCAGTTAATTCACTTATTTTTTTCATTCCAAGCGATAAAGGCTGGTTTGTCGCTGTTAATCTCTATTTTTAGTATACAATCTTTCCTTTATGTTTCCTCAATGTCTTCATTTTAAATGTTTGTAGAAAATTTAATGAGTGTATAGTGCAGTTTTCTCCAGTCCAAAGGTGCTATCGTTATACGTGATGTACGTTGACCCTTTAAATGCCCTACCATGCGTCACATATGTGAAACAAAGCATCACGTGTTCGAGATTACTGAACAGGATAATTATAAAGAGCCGGGCCGTGATTGTGAACGTCACTCAAGCAAGAGTTGTAATTTTATTACACTTGAATACAAAGGAAGCTCGACGATGAAAAAAATGTGCGAATCTTTCTTTAACAGTGTCCTCGTTATTTTCATTTGGAGCAATGTTGCATTCAAGTTTGTGCAGTGCCGGAGCACCCCCGGGACTCACTTCACTGATGAAACGAGGTTAGCTCGGCACATGGAGCTCTGTTTGAACAGATGTGGCAACCGATTTCAAACCGATGACGCGGGAATATTAAGCGGAGAGGTGACTCAGCATTTCTTATATTTTCAATGGTGATAAATTTACTTAAAAGACAAACTGATTGTTACGAATATAGACAATGACGATATGCATGAAAGAGCTTCAGCAAGTCAATGATTTAGTTCGGCAACGTGTAATGTTTCACTCATTTCCAATTCTGCCAAATTTTTCTCCTTGGAGATCTTTGCAATCTTAATTTGTTCAGGGTCTCTTCAGAGTAGACCGTTACTTTAGCTGTTCCAAATGTGAGGAAATTTTTAGCCTGTTAATTCAGAAATCGCAGCTCACTAAAGGAAATAAATAGGTTTCATTTTTAGAATATTTATCGTGGTAACATGTGGGGTTGTAATGAGAAAAATGCGAGACCCGCATCTGAGCTTTCCTTCCTCCTTTCTCGTAAATGCACATCGAAATTTTTTAGGAAACAATATTTATGCAAGATCCTTGAAATAGAGTCAGCTAGTAAACCGGGCACAGCATTGAAAGGCACTAAGTACTAAAGCAAAAAATCTTAAACTTTTTTATACTGAATCGTGCTGTTCGCCAACCACTTGTTCAAAAGAATGAACTGTACGCACGTATTCATATGTAAAGTGGCAAGTTGACGAAAATCATAACTGCAAATTGTTTTTTGCCTCAACTTAATCTTTGAACCTAAGAACGCTTTTATCGACTGTATACCGACGCACGTGTTCTTGTGTAAACAGGCAAATTGACGAAAATCATAATTGCAAATTTATTTTTGTCTCAACTTAATCTTCGAATCTAAGAATGCTTTTACCGATTTCGATTAAATGGAAAGGTGGATTTGATATCTCCTGAACTGATCTCCCTCATTCATGAGGCCACTTTTACTTAAGAGCTGCCGCCCTTTCTTTTACTTTTACGCGGGGTTTCATTTTTGGAACGCGTCAAAGTGGAAAAGAAAGTTGTCCTTTATTTCTATAATTCAAGCGTTATTCCAATGGCAGTGCTGGTCCAATTTATTGCAAACGTTTTCTAGCGCTGCTATCCGGAGACATCTCAGGAGAACTAAAGCAGGAAGGTATAAATGGAACTGGGGGGGGGGGGGTATTTTGGCGACGGTGCCAATATTTTCTTTTGCAATTATCATTATCATAGATAAGTCGGTATGAGGTTTTCCGGTTGCGATGGAATCAAGTTCCTTCTTTCAGTATTTGGATTTCCCGGGTAGCAATAAAACATAACTCATCACTAATCACTTGTTGTGTATAGAGAGAATTACACCAATGATAACAATTGCATCGTCAAATTTGCAGGCATCGCGCTATGCTTTACGTATTTTGTGCAATTTGGGATAATTACATAGATCACCAAAAAGATAAATTTCAATTCGACAGCAGTGGGGGAGGAAATCACGCAAAGAATTTTCAGCTGGGAGAATCGGTAGTATTAATGGCAAGCAGATATTGGAAGGATTAATTGTAAGTTCCGTCATTCCTTAAAGTTGTCTATTCATCAGATGTGTTATGACAAGTGCCTTCTAGGAAGAGGTAATTTTTTGAAATTTTAATTGACATAGACGGAGTGAAAAATGGCGATACTCTTCTCAGCGGCATTTGATGCATGTATTGTATGTCATATATTTGAGATGTTTTGTGGATTATAACCTAGTTTATCTTTACTCAACGTTACAATGCCATGAGCTTTAAATTTTAATCAGTCTGCGCCATTCCACTCCCTCAAACGGAACTCCATTCTTTTGCTAATCTGTGTTTCTACCATCTCTTCTATTCATACGCGTTTCGTGTATTCGATATATGCTGAAGGCCATCGTTCGCTCATTTTGAGAGCACCAGGGTAAGGGGACAGGTGGATATGTGTATGGATTATTTAATCTAGCTGCGATAATGTCTAACAAACTACTTGTGTTATTTATACCGTAAGCTCGTATACTTGTGACAGAGGAAGCTGTTATTGATATATCTTAAATTAATTTTACTCCAATGTTGATAGGGAAAATTAATTCTGTTGTGAATAATCAGGATGTTTCATTCAGTAAGGAATTGACGTCATCTTTCGAGAGAATCAAACGCGGTAAGCTTGTCTATCAACAATCCATACAACTCAAGTTTCATGAATTGGCCAAAGATGGCTCCTAATTCATTTCTCTCCATAATCACCATTGTTGTAGTTTTGGAAAAGAACAGTTCGATAGAAGATAAAGCAATCACATTTAAAATCTTCAATATTATGATATCTTTTGGATTTATGGGTGGAAAATTTCAAATATAATTATGGATGTGAAAGTTAATGAATAGATTTCGAGACCCGTGATGATCTGTGTCTCCGTCCTCCAAATAGCCCATGATTGATAAATCAATCAATTTTTTTAATTCCAGCAAAGTGCTCAATAAACAAAAGCGACATTTTTATTGATATTTTCCTCCTTTCTCATTCAGAAATTCCAGGGAGCGAGAAAAATGACAGAGACGGTAAGATCAAAATATACTTTCTTTCTGATAACAATTTTGTTTTATTTTTCTACTAGTTGACAAAAATGTGAATAAAGTATCGTTACAGCCACTTCTTCATTAAGCAAGCTAAATTTTCAAAGGTCAGTTATGGTCAAAAACTTCTGAAGGGTTTTCGTTTTTTCTAAATTCAACTTTTAGCACGTCTCTATGTTGGGTACTGTTTAGTGGTATGGTAGGTTTTTGGGATCTAAGTAATAAATTAGTTAGGTATTTGTTATCATACTAACTTCCTATCGTGTTTTATTGTTGGTTTGGAGAAAGATGATCTAAAGGTGCATTGGGCAAAATAAATAACCCTTCAGCCATATTTCGATCCCATGTATGTGAATTTAAAGTGTATTATAAAAGGTGGCATAGTTTTATTATTTTCCTTGGGGAAATGGTTTAGAAGCGATAGTTTTCGTTTCTCGCACGAGTTTTTGGTTCACTGTCTGTTTGTGTGACTTAGTTTTACAGCGTTATGGTTTCAGGAGCTCCTAGAACACCAGTCATGTACTTTGTACCCTCGTATTTTATTGAGGTACTCCTGATTATATTACCTAAATTTTGTTTTCAAACAAAGCCTGCTTAATGAACAGTCCAGGCACTTTCATGCATCCTGATACGAAGGTAACATTCCAAGAACCCAGGAACAGTGGAAGTTTTATGGCAAATGTAAAGTGGGAACCTCTGCTAAGTATGTAATGTAACGAAAGTATGGCAGCAATCAAGTAAAATTATAGTTAGTTTTATTTCTCTTGCATTGTTGTTGGCACATTCCTAATTTAGAATGAAAATTTGCTCTTACGATCATATATACAACATAAAGTTATAGGAAGAATGAAAAGCACATAACATAACTATTTAACAGTAATAAAACTCATGGTGCTCAGTATAAATGGGAGTCGAAATAGAAAATTGATAGTAGCAATAATGATAGTGAGAATGATGCTAATAACGATTATCATAATGATAATAGTGGAATAGTTAAGTATATATTTTTTTCCAGGTGACGCTTTTAATTGGACTGGATACAGATTGATTTACGCCGTTGGTATGGTATCTGAAGCTATCCTTAAATGCGTGGACCTTTATAAGGTGAGAGCCGCTAAAACCCGGAAAACCTTAAAGAGGTTTTGATCTCCACTCCTTCCTATCCTCTCAACGGATATTTTAAAATTTGTCCAATCTCGATGGCTTTACGTTAACTTTACCCCCTTAACAGTGCTCCCAGCCCAACGTTTTTCCAAGGTGCCATTTGGCCACCAAAATTGTTTTGAATGGTCGCCAGAAATGACAGCAACAGAAAAACAAACAAACAAACAAAAAAACAAACAAAAGACGATTTGATTTATCCAGCATCGTTTACCACATCATATAAACAATCAAGGAGTAAAAGGCTATGACAGTATTAATAATATCGAAGCAAAAGTTAATCTCACTTTTCCCTGAGGCCTAAACCTGCCTTAGAAATGAAAGTTACATCTTCTACGAACAGTGAAAGCGGGTCGCCAGTTTTGCAACCTTTGCTGATTTAAGTTGCCAAAATGTTCTTTAACTTGCCACGGTTTCCAAAAAGGTCGCAGCTTGGAGCACTGGCTTATGAGGCCGTCAGTACTGAAAAAAATGATCAGTAGTTAATCTCATGATCTCAATCTTTAAACTGGTCTAAGCGCTAGGTTTAATTAAGTAATGCTATAATTCAACCTTGGAGAGATGAAAATAGATGAACTGTACTAACAATTTTATTTCAGAACGAGACGAGTTATTTTATAAGCAGTGGTCTACCGAATGACACGCGCTTGCGACTCAGTGTAAGTCTATCCAAATCCCTGATCTTTGTTGGGTTTTAGGGAGAAGGGAAGGAGGAATTATGACAGCACTATTGACTTACTTCGAAAAACTAAAGAGACAAAAGTAAATTTTTAAAATTGTTGAGGTGTGAAAGGTAGGCGTTCTTACCACATAATCTATTATACAGTTTTGTTTGAGGGCTTCAATGCATCAACACAAAAATGCATTCGTGGCGTACTCCCCGGCTGCTTGATATGTGTCGGGTAAAATATAAGGGGCATAGTCCCCAAGCCGGACTATGCCCCTTATATTTTACCCATGCATCAATGAAGTCTTGTTTAGAAAATGCACCGTCAAGAATGATATTGCACGAAAGAAAGTACGTGCGGGAAATTCGATGGGGATAGTTGATCAAAGAATCTCTTGAAAGTCTTAATACCCTAAACATACTCTAAGGCATAAGGTGCGATTCCTTTTTTCGTGCAGATCTATTACAAATAGTCCAGAAAACGTCCTTTATAAACGTTCAAATGGTGATATGTCCTTTGAAGTAGCGTCAAATTTGCAGTACATGCATCGGTGACTCATTTACGTTGATGATCGATGTAAAAACTGCAAGTCCTTCAGAGATAACTTCACTTGTTGAGCTGCCTGACAAACTGAACGAAATTTATGTTGTTATGTTTTTGTTTTATCATAATTTTGTGTTTTTTTTTTTTGTTTTTTGGTAGGTTGTTTCCATACCATTTTCCTCCAGCCACAGTAATTTTACCTTGTCCATAGACTGTAAGTCTCTTTAAAAGTTTTAGGTGAACCTTGGAAACCAATGTACATACTTTGTATAGTGTTTATTGTTTTTATTTTTTTCTGCCGTAAGCCAAAGACTGAAGGCTGTGTAGTTTCTCTCTCTTAATTTTGTTGCAAAGTTTGTACTATTCAAACTGAGTTTAGATATTGAGGGTTATTTACAGTCTGACTCCTAAATGTAATAGCTTACCTCGCCATAAGTGGTGTGAATGTCGCCTTTACTTTGATTTCCTTGCTACGATGTAAAGTAGCTTGTGAACAGTTCTCGTAGCCACCCTCAACGTAACAAACACCATTGTGACTAGACATCCATGCGTTTTGATCAAATAAGGGTACAATTGTGCTGTGATTAGTGCAGGTTGCATTCCTCACTAAGTGCACATTTCGCCAACCAACTCCTTTGTGGCGAATTTGTTTGATTTGCTAGATTCCTAAAGGTCAAAACGTTATCGGAACTAGTAACATTTAAGATGACGTGATTGCTAGATCTGGAATAGGAAACTTAGTCTAACCATTTGTCAATCGAATATAAAATCTTATATTTTTCTGAATTAATCAGTTTAAATTTGTCACAATGTTAGATCGAAGGGTGTAACCACCAACCGTGCCCCTTAGAGACAGAGTGTTTCCTGTCTCTTACGATTTTTTTTCTTGCCTAATTTTTTTTCTTGTCTAATTTTTTTTCTTGTCTAATTTTTTTTTCTTGTACAGGCCATATTCCATGTCATGAGAAGCCAACGATGAGTGGCATATCAACCCTGAATACAAGTAAAGAAAATTTGATTGTCGTTTTTCGCTGAACGTTCTTCAACGGACCTCTTTCAGAAATGGCAGGCCTCGTTTACCCTTCTAACACAATGTATATTAGCCTTGTCGGCCTAACTAGACTCTCAGAGCAAACAGACGAGAAAGAGAAAAATAGAACTTTTACTCATAAGCGAGGCTAAGAAGGGTTATTTAAATGCGCACAAAAGAATGATAGTCATGGCCACTTTTTATGATAGAGGTCTGTACCTTAAACTTCGTTTCCGTTTAACATTATTGACTTCTTTCAAAGTTGAATTTGTTCAGTATTTCTTTTTGGCACTCTAGGCCTTCACCTTCTTCTCTTTCTACTTTATCAGTGTTGCGGAGGTGTAATGAATGATGGTCTTCTATGATTGAAACATGTATTTTGTGATCCTTACTTTACTGACACACAACTATCTTAAAACGAAGCACATCATACAAGTGCTGTCGATGACAACGTATATTTAAGGTGGCTGAACACAGTTTTCGCGCACGCTTTTGCTGATGCAATTCAGAGCGCGCACAAGGATTGCAAAAAGCAAACAGGCCTTCAATAGAGCGGTCATTTTATTTACTCAACACGTATCCGCACTATCTGTGCTATTTTTCTCTATAGTTGCCGCAGTGTATTTGAGGGCTTTAATCTTTTATTACAAAGACATGTAAGAAAAGTTAACGGTGCAAAGAACCCAGCAATTCTCAGCTTTTTTGTCGTTACCGAAAGAACCAGTTAAATGCAGCGCATGCGTAATAAGTAAAAAAATTGCGATTGAATGGAAAATTGCTTTCTCGGAAATATGCCTATTTCTTGAGAACCACCCATTACATTTTCACGAAATTTGGCTTTAGGAAATAAGTGGAGTATTGAAAAAAATTAATTTTTAACAAAGGAAAGAGATAATCGAGTGAACCTTCAACAAGGGATAATTAAAGATCTCTCCGTTAAATTGTTTGCAAAATGGTGTTAACTTGTGAGTATCGTTACAAGCTCCTTGTATGCAAATTATATAGAAAATCCAGTGACTAGATTTTCTACAAATAAAAAAAATTGATTTTAAAGGTCTGTTTACATTTATTCATGTCGTCATGGCAACGGCACATACGTCAGCTTAACTATCAAAAAAACAAAGTTTGTGTTGTTAACTTGCTTGCTGACAGTTTTGGCGACCGAGAGATCAAGGGTGTTGGAGAAAAAGGGTGAAAGAAACACAGGTGTGAAAAACTTTGTTCAGTCACCTCAAGAAAGCAATGAAACTTTCCCCGCTTTTCTTGCAATTTCTGTCTTATGAAATGATATTTTAATGTTCCCCAGAAAAAAAGATATTCTTGTAGGTTTAAAATTTGAAGGCAATACAAAACGCCACCGCTTATCGGCAAAGAAAATTGATGCCAACTGTTATCCTTTTTTTCCTTTCGTGTTCTATATAGACCGAATGCAAATATGGCGGATTACTCGGACGGCCCGGTACTATTAGCGTGGAAGCGAGGCTAGTCAATCCTCTGATGCTTTGTTTTGAATACGCGTCCTTTTTTCAGTTCGTTTTAGTGTAATCATTTCGCGATGCTTTCGTTCTTCTGCGAACCCAAATGCAATCAGAAAGGTTTTTTATTTTAACTTTCCTAAAGCGCCTTTGATAAGAAAACAGTGGATACACGCAATCCGTCCAGAGGAAGACAAGGACTTCGTCATAACAGAGCGTACGGAAGTCTATCAACGGACGGATTTATGTCAAGGAAGACGGTATTCCTTCAAAATTTGACTGGTCAGGACCTTCTCCTAAAAACGAAAGGCCCCGACTGAACGGCAACCGCTGCCTGCGAAGAAAAAACTGCTCACCGAAGACAACTCTCAATGCTCTGATAAGTATGTGTCTGTAAACAACGAAGTGCAAGAAACCGTCGAGATGTCCTCCTTTGAGCCAAGTACAAGCTTCGAAGAAAACACATCTATAACCCCAATTTAGAAAGGCAAATCGCTGAACAAAGCACGAAGATCGGTGAACTAGTAGAGAAATTGAAGCACGCAGAAAGTGAAGTAAACAAACTTCGTCGCGAAAACATCGAATTGACTGAGAAATTGACAGAGTGCGATCGTTTCACGACGGGCCAAATGTTTTTATGAGAACCCTCTTCTCAGACGACAAAGCACAA